GCCCTATGTCCGTGATGGCGAACCTATGGGCCAGCAGTTGCCCCAGCCGATCTCCACGGCGCATGTGTGCGTGCCTCCTGCCGGCCAGCTGGTCTTCGAGTCTCTGCCGTGCATGTGCTGGGGGCAGGGCGCATGCGGGGGACATACGTGTGTATGCGCAGGGGGGCAGGGCGCATGCACGGAGGAGTGCAGGTTGGTGCAGGAGGCTTTCCAGGTCCAAAACGGGGCATCAAAAACGGGGCACCAAAATACAGAGGAATTATTAAGTCTGTCATCTGCACCTCCATAACTGTCTGGTTTGGTTCTGCAACCCAACAAGACAGACACAGACTTCAACAGATAGTTAGAACTGCAGAAAAAACCATGGCTACCAACCTGCCTTCCATGGAGGACCTGTATACTACACGAGTCAAAAAGAGGGCTGGGAAAATCTTTCCAGACCCCTCGCATCTTAGACATAAACTGTTTCAACTCCTACCCTCAAAACGACACTATAGAGCACTGCACACCAGAAGAACTAGACACAAGGACAGATTTTCCCCAATGCCATCGCTCTGCTAAACAAATAATTCCCTCAACACTGTCAAACTATTCATTAAGACTATTTGACTATTATTATTCTCTTCCTTACTAGTATCTATCTCTTCCCACTTATGACTGTATGACTGTAATTTTGTTGCTGGTATCCTTACGATTTATATTGACTGTTTCCCTATGACTACCATTAAGTGTTGTACCTTATGATTCTTGACGAAAGTATCTTTTCTTTTATGTACGCTGAGAGCATATGCACCAAAGACAAATACCTTGTGTGTCCAATCACACTTGGCCAATAAAGAATTCTATTCTAGTCTATTCTATTCTATTCTATTCTATTCCATTCTATTCCATTCCATTCCATTCCATTCCATTCTATTCTATTCTATTCCATTCTATTCCATTCTATTCCATTCCATTCCATTCCATTCCATTCCATTCTATTCTATTCTTGCAGAGCAGCAATGGAGAAAAAGATGTCATTTCCCCCTCCCCCACTCCCCGATTTCTGTGAAGCCTGATGGGACATAATGGGATGCAGAATAAGGGATGGAATTGACTCTTTAACAAAGTTCTAGCAGGATCCATTTTCCTTTTCCTTTCCGCCATCAACCGCAGACCCTGAACCAACTATTCTTCCCCCTAACTAAGCGTCTTCCTATTCTCTTTCATTTGCTGTGATAGGAAACAGCTTTCTCTGGTTATTTCTCTTGAGTTGTAGCTAATCCCTCTATTTATAAAAATCATTCAGTAAAGGCACACAGACATGCTTCTCAAACAATAGTGGCAATTCTTGAGTAGAATTCTTGAGTTGAGAGGATGGCCCTGTGCCAATCTAATGGGGCCAAAATCAGGATTAAAGGAATTTTTCCAGCCATGAGAACTGCACCAAAAACTACAAAAATACAGATGACTTTCTCTCTGTCTGTCTCTCTCGCTCGCTCGCTCTATCTGTCTCTCTGTCTCTCTCTTCCTTTATCTGTTGGTCTCTCTGTCTCTCTCTGTTCCTGTCTCTCTCTCTCTGTCTCTCTCTCTGTATCTCTCTCTGTCTCTCTGTCTGTCTCTCTCTCTCTCTTTTTGTCTGTCTCTCTGTCTCTCTCGTCTCTCTGTCTCTGTCTGTCTGTCTGTCTGTCTCTCTCTCTCTCTCTCTCTATGTGACTCTGTCTCCATCTGTACTCTTGTCTAAATTGCCTGATGTCAGCACAATTAGGCCTCACCTTATGACCACAATTGAGCCCCATATTTCTGTTGCTAAGCAAGACAGTTCTTAAGTGAATGTTGCCCCGTTTTAAGACCTTCCTTGCCACAGTTGTTAAGTGAATCACTGCAGTTGTTAAGTTAGCAACACGGTTGTGAAGTGAATCTGGCTTCCCCATTGACTTTGCTCGTCAGAAGGTTGCAAAAGGGGATCACATGATCAACAGTCATAAGTACATGCCAGTTGCCAAGACATCTAGATTCCCTCAGTTTCATCCTGGCTACTCTTAAAGCAAGTCTCTTGATGTCTATGGAGATCAGGTCATGGTTGTCCCAAAGGTGCTTTTTTTTCAAGAGGCAACTGGACTTTCTGGTTTTTCTTTGAAGACGTTTCGCTTCTCAGAGCTGAAGAAGCTTCGTGGATGAGAAGCGAAACGCCTTCAAAGAAAAACCAGAAAGTCCAGTTGCCTCTTGAAAAAAAGCACCTTTGGGACAAATTGTTTTGCAACCAATGGGTTTCCGTAACATTTTCTTTCTTCTGAGCCAGTTCATTCTTTCAGGCTGGATCTCTGGTCCCGGTGACCGACCCAAATTCAATCTCACATCATTATCCTTCTACATTTACAAGGTTCTACATTTAGGGAAGATAAACAAAATGCACAGGTACCACATATATAGTACCTTGCTCAATAGTAGTAACTGTGAGAGGGATCTTGGAGTCCTAGTGGACAACCATTTAGATATGAGCCAGCAGTGTTGCAGCAGCTGCCAAAAAAGCCAACACAGTTCTGGGCTGCATAAACAGAGGGATAGAATCAAGATCACGTGAAGTGTTAATACCACTTTATAAGGCCTTGGTAAAGCCACACTTGTTTTGGTCGCCAAAATAGTCTTACAAAATAGTTTCTCACTAATGAAGGCAAATATACATGGCCCAGGATAGAATAGAATAACAGAGCTGGAAGGGACCTTGGAGGTCTTCTAGTCCAACCCCCTGCTTAGGCAGGAAACCCTACACCACTTCAGACAAATGGTTATCCAACCTCTTCTTAAAAACTTCTAGTGTTGGAGCATTCACAACTTCTGGAGGTACGTTGTTCCAGTGATTCATTGTTCTCACTGTCAGGAAATTTCTCCTTAGTTCTAAGTTGCTTCTCTCCTTGATTAGTTTCCATCCATTGTGTCTTGTCCTGCCTTCAGATGCTTTGGAGAATAGTTTGACTCCCTCTTCTTTGTGGCAGCCCCTAAGATATTGGAAGACTGCTATCATGTCTCCCCTAGTCCTTCTCTTCATCAAACTAGACATACCAAACCAAACTACAAAACCAAACCACATAGCAGAGAATTCCATCTCTGAAACAGATTTGGCAGTGATATTCTGGAGGAAGAAAGTCTGGAAGGATCTAGATTTGGAAAGGTCTGTTTTCGGAAACAGCTGGAATGCAAGTGGGGATGGGGAAATTCCCAGATAGTTCCCAGGCAGCAGATAACATGGATGTCCTAAAATTTTTGGGGAAGCATAGTCCACGAGGGACAGGTAATAATGGACGAAATGGACCAAAGAATTCGACCGTCTGGAAAGAAACTTCCTATAATTCCTCTTCGAATTGACTTCCCTAGAAATTTTCTCACACCTTGCCAAGTATTGCCACCTAGTGAACTGGAAATAGCACAACATAAGGTCAAACTTCCCGTGTCACGGAGCCGAGTATAGTTATTCTCTAGTTTCCTTTTTTTTTTATTAAAAGAATTAATATACAGTTGAGAAGTCTGTAGCCTGCAGCAGATTTACAAAAGGAAGAGGGTTCGGGGGAAGAGTTTCGTAAACGGTTGTTCTGTCATATTTGTTTTTTCCTGCAAAAATGACCCCTTTTATCATCTCCCCACCAGGAAGATTTTGCAAGGAGAGGTCTTTAGTTTGCTTTTTAACCAAGAGTTTGTTTGGACTGGGGTATGAATTGAGACGATCACACAGAGTAGGTGTCTCCAACCTTGGCAACTTTAAAACTTGTGGACTTCAATTCCCAGAATCCCTCAGCCAGCTTTGCTTTAAAACTTTGCACAAGTTTTAAAGCTGCCAAGGTTGGAGACCCCTGACACAGAGGTTTCATCTTGTCTCCATGGTACCCATCTTAACAGTGCCACATTTGGATTGCAAACCTAAAAGGAAAACAAACTTAACACCACAGAAATTAAGGATGAGGGAATCATCTAGCCTGCTGTTTCTCAACCTTGTCGACTTTTAAGTTGCGTTGGGCTTCAGCTCCCAGAATTCCCCATGCAGAGCATGCTTGGGGAATTCTGGGAGCTGAAGTCCACACATCTTAAGAGTTGACAAGGTTGAGAAATCATCTCTAGTCCAATCCTTGGACCTGAGCAGGAATCAGCTACTACATTAAATCCTCCGTCAAAGCTATTGCAGATGGCTTTCAGTCAAAATAGATGCTGGCCTTGCTTTGCAAACCGGTTTATTTTATCTATAACCTCGAATACGGCTTTTACGCTGCCTCCTGTATTTTCTGCGCTTTTCTGTATCTCTTATAGCCCAAATGTGTTGTTTTTCTGGATGAAAAGCGAGCAAAGGCTCTAGCCCTCAGCCCTTTCCAGATTGAGCCCCGATGAGAGCAAATGAAAGAGCCTTGGTGGCGCAGCAGACTAAAGTGCTGTTAAGTAGCACCAGCTGCCTGCAATTACTGCAAGTTCAAATCTCACCAGGCTCAAGGTTGACTCAGCCTTCCATCCTCCCGAGGTAGGTAAAATGAGGACCCGGTTTGTGGGGGCAATAAGCTGACTTTGTATAAAAAAGAACAGCGCTTAGGGGGGGCAAAAGCCCTACTAAGCAGGTATATACAAAAGTATGAAGGCTATTGCTTAACGCATTGTAAGCCGCCCTGAGTCTCCGGAGAAGGGTGGCATATAAATCGAATCAATCAATCAATCAATCAATATTTCACAAGCTGCCTTTTAATTTTTCAGATGCCGCTTTACCTTAGCGAAGTTTTCTGCATCTCTTTGGAGATGCTTAATCACCTGAGTCACGATTGTCTCAAAAGGTGCTTTTCCAAAAGGCAACTGGACTTTCTTGGGGGGGGCGGGTTTGCTTGAAAACCTTTCAAGAAGCTGCTTCTTCAGTTCTTCAGCAAGAAAATGTTTTGAAGGGGAAACCCCCCCCCTCCCCAGAAAGTCCAGGTGTCTTTTGAAAAGACGCGCATCACGGACCATTTTTTAAGACCGAGTCGAGAGGGAGAATGAGAAACGAGACTTACGTTTGACAGTATTTCGGGATTCCTGGAAACCAGCTGGCTCTGACCCCCAGCCCAAGGCTTCACATTCGTGCTGCTCCACCCCTTGCCCATGCTTGGCACCTGCGCCCGCACCTCCTTTCCCCTTCTCCGCCAGCCAGCACATCTTCCACAGCCCCACGCTGCGTTTACGCCCATCCTCCAAGGTCTGGTACACCCAGTTGGGAGTAAAAGCAGCCGCGTTGTTGAGAATGAGGGAGACCAGAGCGACCAACACGGCTGTGGCGACCAGTTTCTGGACTGTCATATCTGAGGGTCACCCAGCAGCCGGCCGCCACTCTTAGTAGAAGATCCAAGCGTCCCCACACTTCTCAATCAGCTGCAGTACATTGAATTTGCGCCCGTCGTCGGTGGAAGGCAGGTGCGTTCACGTTAGGTATGACTAGAGTACATCCCCATTCATTCTCAAAAGTCAGCTGCTGGGAAGGTCTTGGCTGCACAAAGAGCCACAAAGGAGACAGGACAACTCCATCCGAAGCCAAAGGCAAGAACCAGGCGTCCAGATTGCTTGTCTTCCCTCGGGGAGCGCTTTATCCGCCTTCCTCCCCTTTGAGTAGGACCAGGCTGGCGTAGAGTCGAACGTCCAAGAGGCGCATTCTTTCCGAAACTCCCAGCTGGCAAAGGCTCGACGTAAGCAGTGTCTTCTACGCCGATCGAGTTGTCTTGGAAGTCTCTCCCCCACAAAAAAAATTGCCCCTTTTAAAGGCTGTCCCGTCCCTTCAGCCTTCTGGAGCACGGCGGTGAGAAGAAGCTGGGACCTGCATAAGAAGCACCCAGAGACCTCAGTTCTGACCTCAGTGCCACCTGAATTTCAGAAGGGGTCCGAGAGGGCCTTGGGCTTCAGCTCTTTGCCGCCCAAGCAAATCCCAGAGAGCAAAAAAGAAAAAATTGCATCCCCCACTCCCCAAGGAATCCCTGCAAGATTGGAGTCTGTATTCCCAGGGACTCTTCTTCCAACCTCTGGCTGCTCTTCCCTTGATGACGGAGCCCAGCAAACTGCCCCGAAGCAGGAAAACAGAATCCTTTGCTGCAAGGAAGTTTGGTTTCCCTCCCGCCACCACCCCCCCTCCCTCCCTCCTATCTCTCCATGAAAAAGGAAACGGTTGTTTGTGCGGCCGGGTTTTTTTTTGGTGAAAACTTCAGGGCGTAGCCGACTGCAAAACCGACAAGAGCCACTGCCACGGCCGTCCGATGTGAACAGGATGTGTTTCCTGAAAGGAAAAGTCAAAGACAGACTTCTAAAGTCCCGTCTCTTTCTCTCTCTCTCTCCCCTCCCCTCCCCTCCCTCCCTCCCTCCCCACTCACATCATCCCTCCCACCTCATTCCATGGCTGTCCTCCTCTTTCTCCCCTCCCCTGCTTCCCAGAAAGAAGATATTATCATTCGATAATATTCTTATTTGGAAGAATCGGTTTGATGATAGTGGAACCCTCAAGGATATCGTGGAAGAAAATAGATCGGGGGGGGGGTGTATGTGTTTCCTTGGTGCTGTCTGAGTTTGGTGGTTTTATTTATTTATTTATTTATTGGTTCGATTTATTGGTTCGATTTCGAGCCTTGGTAGTACAGTGGTCTAAAGCACCCTGTTATTAAGACCAGCTGCCTGCAATTACTGCAGGTTCGAATCTCGCCAGGCTCAAGGTTGACTCAGCCTTCCATCCTTTCTAAGGTAGGTGAAATGAGGACCCAGTTGTGGGGGCAATAAGCTGACTTTGTATAAAATATACAAAAGGATGAAGGCTATTGCTTAACGCCTTGTAAGCCTCCCTGAGTCTCCGGAGAAGGGCGGCATATAAATCAAATTAAAAAAAAAATGCTGCCCTTCTCCGTAGATTCAGGGCGGCTTACAATGTGCTCAGCAATAGCCTTCATCCTTTTGTATATACCTGCTTAGTAGGGCTTTTGGCCCCCCCTAGGCAGTGTTCTTTTTTATACAAAATCAGCTTATTGCCCCCACAATCCGGGTCCTCATTTTACCTACCTCGGAAGGATGGAAGGCTGAGTCAACCTTGAGCCTGGTGAGATTTGAACTCGCAGTAATTGCAGGCAGCTGGCAGCTAAGTGCTACTTAACAGCACTTGCAGGCAGGCGTTTCATGACTCCAAACTAGGTAACATCATCAGTGCTGGAAGGGAGTGGGATTTGCAAAGAGGAGGAAGGAGAAAAGGTGGAGGAAGAGGACTGTGGGGTCCTTGGTGCTCTCTGAGTTTGGTTGTTTCCTTGCAGATGTTTTATTACCCAGACTAGGTAACCCCATCAAAAAATAGATCCTCCAAAATAGATCCCGCTCTGTTATTAATGCCTTTGGTTTGGGATTCAACAGTTTTGGTCTCAACCCATCAAATCTAACTTGGGAGATTGAAGCACAAGAAATATGTGGCTCTCTTGCCAGGCGCACTCTTAGTTCAGTGCTAAGAATATTTCTGCTTTTTTTTTTCTTTTGCTTACTCCAACAAAAATAATCAGAATTGTTTTTCTTTTTCTGCACAATAATGCAATGTCGTTGGATGAGATGGAAGGATCCAGTAGGATTATACTTCCAGGAAAAAAATTAGCATTTCGTAAGGATATATATATATATATTATATATATTATATATATATATACGGTATTTGATTGCTTATTAGTAACCTACTATATGACTGTCATTAAGTGTTGTATCTTATGATTCTTGATGTATTCATTTTTCTTTATGTACACTGAGAGCATATGCCACCAAAGACAAATTCCTTGTGTGTCCAATCACACTTGGCCAATAAAGAATTCTGTTCTGTTCTGCTCTGTTCTGTTGTTCTGTTCTATTATTCTATTCTATTATTCTATTCTATTCTATTCTATTCTATTCTATTCTATTCTATTCTATTCCATTCCATTCCATTCCATTCCATTCCATTCCATTCCATTCCATTCCATATTTTCTATTCTATTCTATTCTATTCTATTCTATTCTATTCTATTCTATTCTATTCCATTCCATTCCATTCCACTCCACTCCACTCCACTCCACTCTACTATATTCTTTCTATATTCTGTTCTGTTCTGTTCTGTTGTTGTTCTGTTCTGTTCTACTCTACTCTACTCTACTCTACTCTACTCTACTCTACTCTACTCTACTCTACTCCACTCCACTCCACTCCACTCCACTCCACTCCACTCCACTCCACTCCACTCCACTCCACTCCACTCTATTCTATATATAAAGTCACCCAGTTGGCCTTCATTCCCGTTGGGAGGACTAGAATTCACTGTCTCCTAGATTCTACATCAGGAGATGTTGAGTTCTAGTTCTACCAACCACAGCCATGAAAACCAGATAGGTGACTTTCTCACTCTCTCTCAGCTCAACCCACCTCACAGGGTTATTGTTGTGGGGAAAATAGGAGGAAGGAGTATTTGACCTAGAGTTGCTTTTTACAAGAGGCAACTGGACTTTCTGGCTTTTTCTTCGAAGGCGTGTCGCTTCTCATCCAAGAAGCTTCTTCAGCCTCTTGAAAAAAAGCACCTTTGCGACAACCTTAACCTGGATAACTGAGAATCTCCATAGGCAAGGAGCATTTAAGTTATTTATAAAAATGTACCGTGTTTCCCTGAAAATAAGACCCTGTCTTATATTTTTTTTGAACCCTGAAACAAGCGCTTGGTTTTATTGCTACGTGCTCAAAAGCCCGATTGGGCTTATTATCAGGGGATGTCTTATTTTGGGGGAAACAGGGTATCTATCTATCAATCAATCAATCAATCTATCAATCATCTATCTATCTATCTATCTATCTATCATCTATCTATCCATCAATCCATCCGTCATCTATCTGTCTGTCTGTAGTCCGTCGTCCATATCATCTCTCTCTATCTATCTATATCTATATATCCATCAATCCATCCGTCATCTATCTATCTATCTATCTATCTATCTATCTATCTATCTATCTATCTATCTATCTACTGTGCTTCCCCAAAAATAAGACCGTGTCTTATATTTTTTTTAAACTCTGAAACAAGCGCTTGGCCTTATTGCCACACACTCAAAAGCCCGATTGGGCTTACTATCAGGGGATGTCTTATTTTGGGGGAAACAGGATATATAACCACGGGATATAAATGAATAAATTTCATAAGACAAAGTTGATGATTTGTAGAAGCAGCAGTCTTGCAAAGGCTCCCTAGGCATAATTTCCAGCTATTATTCAGGCAAAGACCTGACAATTAAGGCCTTGTCTCTGACACTCTTCTTCTTTTGTCAATTTCTGAGAATGGAGGGGGTGGGGGTTAGGGACCAATTGGGAATAATGCGTAGGCCTCCGGGAATTTTTTATTTTTTTTTTTTTGAGCTCAGAAAACCTTGAAGTCCACTGAAGAGATCTTCGGTATGTCTTCCACCCTGCTGGTGATCCGACAGGATGAGCCTTTTCCTTCTCTTGTTCCTGTCTTCCCCTCGAGGGAAACAGGTGGGTTTGGGACGAAGTTGTTTGTCCTGTTTCGCTTTACAGAAAACCTTTTAGTTCTCTTTGCCCATTAAACAATTATATTATTATTATTATTATTATTATTATTATTATTATTATTATTATTATTATTATTATTTTTCTAAGTTGAAACCTGAGCCCTGAAAATTAAGTTACCCATTCAGGTCACTGAGTCGCCTGTCCTTGATTTACAGCCATTCATTTAGGGACCATTCAAAGTTATGGCGGCACCGGGGGAAAAAAAGCGACCTTTTACACACTGACAACTGTTGCTGTTTCCCCACAATCACGTGATGAAAACTCAAATGCTTGGCAACCAGTGTAGATTTATGATGTTTGCAAGTGTCCCAAAGTCTCACACCAAGAAGACAAACGACCAATCCTTTTGGAAATCTAGAAGTGTCCTTAGGTAAAAGTAAAGGTTCCCCTCGCACATATGTCCTAGTTGTTCCCAATTCTAGGGGGCGGTGCTCATCTCCATTTCAAAGCCGAAGAGCCAGCGCTGTCCGAAGACATCTCCGTGGTCATGTGGCCGGCATGACTCAACGCCAAAGGCGCACGGAACACTGTTACCTTCCCACAAAGGTAGTCCCTATTTTTTTCTACTTGCATTTTTTTACCTGCTTTCAAGCTGCTAGGTTGGTAGAAACCTGGGACAAGTAAAGGGAGCAGCTCACCCCGTTACGCGGCACTAGGGATTCGAACCGCTGAACTGCCAACCATCTTAGCCACTAAGTCACCGCGTCCCAACTGGCTCCTACATAAGCTGGTGGTAAATTAGCACTCCTGTTGACTGACAAGAGGACCATTTCGCAGGCTTCAATCATTTCCCTGGCTATTTTTGTACCTGCTCAGCCAACAATCTGAGTACCTGCAAAATTGAATGCATGTCCTAAAAGGCTTTTCCCATTAAGATGGCTGAACTTGTCAAGAGGATCCACTTTCTTTGGCCGCAGAACCCTTTGTATAGAATGAACCCTTTAGAATGGCTTTTAATAAACTTTTCCCCTTTATTTGGCTTGGGAAATACACTGTCCAGCTCCCCCTTTCTGATTGACAAGCTCAGCATCTGAGCCACTGAGCCACCGCGTCCCCTTACTGCCTTACTTTTTATGAAGTTTTCCTCAACTCATTTCTTTCCAGATGTGTTAAAACAGCAATTCTCAAAATTCTTGACCAGCATAGTGAAGATAATGAGATTGTGCCTTTGGCCAGGAATTCCGGAAGGTGGAATCTCAACAGATTAGGGCAGTGTTTCTCTCAAGCTGTGGCAGCTTGAAGATGGCTGGACTTCAACTCCCAGAATTCCCCTGCTAGCATGGCGATCACATGACCATGGGATACTGCAACTGTTGTAAATATGTACTGGATTGCCAAGTGCCCCAATTTTGATCACGTGACCGCAACGGTCATAATTGTGAGGACTGGTTGCAAGTCACTTTTTTCAGTGCCATCGTAACTTTGAAAGTTTCCTAAATGAATGGTCGTATGTTTGACTACCTGTAAACCCCTTTTTCTCTTCAGTGATCAGGAAAGAAACATCAGCTGCTCACCCGAGAATAAAATGTTTGTACATTCAGTCTA